ATATCATATTGATTTGGGGTAGGGGTAATGTCCTTGCACTGCCTTAGAAACCACCAAAAACACTAGCAACTGCATAGCAACACCCTGGCAACCACCCAAAACAGCCTGGTATCAAGGCAGTGTGCATGCACAGGCAAATATCAAGAATTAGGCTGTAGTTGATGATGATAAATCCAGCTGAGCTTGTTCAGGCAATAACATACTAAATGAAAGAGATTATGTTCTTCTACAGTCTTCAGTGAAGCATTCGCTCCATGATAAATGCAGACCTCCCGCTCCAACAGCACAAACAAATGATGAAAACAAACCCAGAAGCCGGCTCTAATGAAGGCCAAATGGCAGGAATTGACTGGAAACAGCACAGATCTGTGGTTCATTACAGTCAACGTTCAGCCAGCAGTTTTTCATTTTAAAAATCTGTTTCACTTTGTTCATGTAAGGTCTTGTTTAAGCATTTACATTTCTGAAAAATCAGTATTACCACTTTTGACAAACCAAACAGCTCCGAGGGATTTACCAATATAAATAGCGGATACTTAAATTAATTTTATATTTAAATCATATGATGACCAAAATTTATATTACTTGTAAAATCAAACAAAATACTGTGTTCACATACACAAAATATATAATAAATTATAATAATAAAAACAAAAATCGAAGCTGATAGCCTTGTGTGCAGTTTTGTTTAAAAAAGGAATAAAAAAGTAAATGAACTGCTTGCCATATAATTTCTAATATACATCATAAAAGGCACCAGAAATTAACTTAGGATGTTTCATGTATATTTTTTCGAACCATTTTGAAAATACTGCCAACCTTTTATGCCTCATTTTAACCCATTCATTGACCAATTCTCAATCTATATAACTGAAACTCATGTTTTTGTTTTTACATGAAATATACAATTAGGTCTAGAATAGTAAAAACTGTATATATACAGTAGCCAACATTTGAAGTGGATCAAAAAAGTTCATCAAAGTTGTCCTATAAGACAAGAACGGGTATTGTTCAAAATTCATGTATAACTTTGATGAAACGTTTTGATCCACTTCAAATGTTGTACTGATATATATATATATATACACTCACCGGCCACTTTATTAGGTACCCCATGCTAGTAATGGGTTGGACCCCCTTTTGCCTTCAGAACTGCCTCAATTCTTCGTGGCATAGATTCAACAAGGTGCTGGAAGCATTCCTCAGGGAGTTTGGTCCATATTGACATGATGGCATCACACAGTTGCCGCAGATTTGTCGGCTGCACATCCATGATGCGAATCTCCCGTTCCACCACATCCCAAAGATGCTCTATTGGGTTGAGATCTGGTGACTGTGGAGGCCATTTTAGTACAGTGAACTCATTGTCATGTTCAAGAAACCAATTTGAAATGATTAGAGCTTTGTGACATGGTGGAAGTAGCCATCAGAGGATGGGTACATGGTGATGTTTGCATGAAAACATCCCCCACACCATTACACCACCACCACCAGCCTGCACAGTGGTAACAAGGCATGATGGATCCATGTTCTCATTCTGTTTACGCCAAATTCCAACATGACATCATGACTTTGCGTAAACATACACGCCACTTTCAATTCAAGTGGCGTGTTATCTATACGCATTTTCAGCTATCCGCGTGTATGTCCACGCCGAAATCTTTTGCGTGTATGTCTACGCCATTAAATGTCCGAGTGATTCCGCGTGTATGTGTACGCCGTTAAATGTCCGAGCGAAACGAAGCAAAATCTATATCTACATCTGTGGAGCGATATTTCTTTTCCTAGGATGGTAGGAGAAGACTCATAAATGGTATTAACCCCAGTGACGGGTAGGTTTAGGGACGGGGTTGGGGTAGGTCATATATTTATATATACATAATACAGTAATATAACGTTAAGTCAAAGGCGTTGATAAACACGCTGAAAAGTGATTATGCGTGTTGATAGCACGCCAAAAATGGAAATACGAATTGGCGTGTCATACATACGCCATTTCATGAGATCAGTCTGCAAATTCTGACTCTAACATCTGAATGTCTCAACAGAAATCGAGACTCATCAGACCAGGCAACATTTTTCCAGTCTTCAACTGTTCAATTTTGGTGAGCTCTTGCAAATTGTAGCCTCTTTTTCCTATTTGTAGTGGAGATGAGTGGTACCCGGTGGGGTCTTCTGCTGTTGTAGCCCATCCGCCTCAAGGTTGTGCGTGTTGTGGCTTCACAAATGCTTTGCTGCATACCTCGGTTGTAACGAGTGGTTATTTCAGTCACTGTTGCCCTTCTATCAGCTCGAACCAGTCTGGCCATTCTCCTCTGACCTCTGGCATCAACAAGGCATTTCCGCCCACAGAACTGCCGCTCACTGGATGTTTTTTCTTTTTCGGACCATTCTCTGTAAACCCTAGAGATGGTTGTGCGTGAAAATCCCAGTAGATTAGCCGTTTCTGAAATACTCAGACCAGCCCTTCTGGCACCAACAATCATGCCACGTTCAAAGTCACTCAAATCAACTTTCTTCCCCATACTGATGCTCGGTTTGAACTGCAGGAGATTGTCTTGACCATGTCTACATGCCTAAATGCACTGAGTTGCCGCCATGTGATTGGCTGCTTAGAAATTAAGTGTTAACGAGCAGTTGGACAGGTGTACCTAATAAAGTGGCCGGTGAGTGTATATATATATATATAACATTTTGAATTCCAGAGCATTTGATTAATTTCTGACCTTGGTACCACAGAAATAGCATGATTTTTGGACCAACAGTATGGTAATATAAGTAGCTTGGCGTATCATGGAATATGGTAATCATTGAATACCCTGGTATTTATAAAAGACCCATGTACCTTTTTTTAAAGAACTGCTTCTTCCAGAAGACAAATGGTTGCTCACTTGTTTACTGCAAATCAATTCAAGGCAAATGCACAAAAAAACACTGATTCATGTGAAGCTTAGGTCACAGGATCATGACATTGCATGCAAACATATCAAACTCTGCCAAACCTCGACATCTTGTCATCCACTTCGACATTACACGGCTAACGACAAAACAAATTAGTCAGAGGCTGAAAATGATCCTGGGAGGCAAAGCTCAGATTTCAGCTTGAGTCAGCTCCGCGTTTAGTCACAGAGTATCCCGTCGATCCAAACAGAAGGCCTTTAATTTCTCAACCAGAACAAAGCACTCAACTTCTGGGCCTAGACGTAAAAGCCAAACGTCCCTAATTTCATTAGGAGAACACCAGCCGGCTAGACCAGCCATACAGGACCTGGATATCTGTCAGAGTCTGGGATCTATAAATAAATCACGCTATCTACAAAAGAAACAGATACATTTGGGTGTCAATAAGAAAAAACAACAGGCATACCTTGTGATGGCTTCCTCTATGGAAAAAAATACATCCAATAAAAGTATTGTATGTGTGAAACTTCAGTAAAAAAAATGAAGAGGCCAAAAGCAAGGCACACAGTCTCACTGTCACTGAGAGGGTGAAGCTACAATCTGAAATAGAGTGGCATGGACATTCACTCACACACACACACACACACGGATAAGCATGGCAGCTGAGTTAACACAAGACTTGCCTATAAATATCCCGCAGCAAGAGGAGGTGGGACATACTACCCTGTTTGGGAAACACTTTGACACAGGAAGAGTGCTGTAAACGGGGAGAAGCTGGACATGATTTCGATATTGGAATCGTATGATACAGATGATTTCAAAACATGGTCGATTCATTTGGCGCCAATACTTCGTAACAGTTTAGCAGGGACTTTGCTAGGCCAGGTCAGATGTTCAGAATAACCCCATTTCCTCTAGACGTTTTAGGATAAAAAGTGCACCTGGATATTTGTTGAAAAATAAACGTGTGAAAACACAGTCTTGGCAACAGCTAGAAAAAGAACAAGTCAACAGTCCGCAGGCTTCCTAATGTCTGGCGGTGTGATTTGACAGACAGACTCAGCTGTGAGATGCAAGGGGTGGGAGGTGCGATCTGTGGGAGGAGGGTGTCAGAGAGAATTAGAGAGAGAACAGAACCGTGTCACAGGGAGGAACCGCCCTAGGCAAATGGATATTACGATTTTTGAAAGGGTCGAATGAAGCCGGCATGGAGGAATATCTCAGACATCCTTCTTGATCTCAAGATTACAAATTTAATCTTTAGCAAACTTCATTTTAAACTGCTAAATCAATTTCACACGGAAGGTCTTGCTTTATCTTAAGGCATATTGATGTAAAAAAAAAAAACTGATGAGCACATCAAGTTGTTTACATTTTGAGGTCAAACAGTACAGCACTGCGCTGATGATATCAAGGTCATGGGTTTGATTTCCAGGGAATGCATGAACTGATCAAATGTATACCTTGAATGCAATGCAAGTCGCTTTGGATAAAAGAATCTGCCAAATGCATACATGCAAATGACAAAATAAGATTACAAATGCATGTAGAAAAATAAATAAAAGGGTCAGTTTTGAATGCAATTGCATGAGGACAAAAACAAAGCATTTAAAGAAACAATTTAAGGAAAACATTTTCGAGAGGAGAACTGACTCAAGTCTAGCAGCATTTTTATTTTCTTATCTAATGACATTTAGACTCGCAGTTTCAATCAGTGCAGTTAAAAACACTATTTAGCCCTTTTACACCGAGGCACAATAAGAGAGGCAAACGAGGACGGATATTACAATATGGGGAGGAGGATAGTAAACCTCAAGAACCCTTAGATTGATTTGAGCTTTGATTATAGCTGCAGGATAACGGAGGACATCCAAGAGAGGACTGTTAACTCCAGAACACTAATGCACAGCTCAATCACACCGAGATCTGGCCGCAGTTCCTCCAAATGGCTTTGACATGCCCTGAAAGTTGCCTAATTGTGGTTTCGGTTTATAAATCTTGCACTGAAAAGTTCGTTTAAATCGACTGCTTAAGAACCAGCGCCCTTGTTCTGATATAAACAGAATCAATCCCGAAAGCATGGAGACAACAGACACGGCAACACGAAAAAGGGGCTTTTATTTCTGAACTGTTTTTATAAGCAGTCCAACACACATGTTCCTAGCTGTTCTGAAAAACAAAACAAAAAACAAAAGAATTTTTTTTAATAACAATTATCATTCATTGAATAATATTATCAATAATTATTATAATCATCATCATCATTATCATCATCATCATCATAACCTTAAATGGTAATAACCCCAGACAGTAGTATTTGCGTTTGTTTGTGGCACATGAAAAAGAGTTTCGGTTGACTGTAAACCCGGATACTCGACAGCTCCGTGCCCTAGGTAAACCCACGCACAGAGGGACTAGCTCCCCGACCAGACAATAAATATGAAAGAGAGAGCAAGAGAGTCCTGTATTAAACAAACAAAAATAATAATCTGTAACTTGTAGGTACAATATCTAAACTTTTATGTGCAAGATCTGAGCTGATTCTTCACCACAAATAGTTGAACTCACATCAAACCCGATCCCTTCCCGAGTCAATTTTTGTGTCTACGTCGTAAAATCTTTTAAATAAACCTAAGCTCATTTGTTTTCATTTCATATACACATATATACTTAGATTTTTGTTAGTTTGTTTTTCTTTTTTTATTCCTATTTATCGCCCTCTTCCATTTCAAAACCTGCGTTCGCCCACAGACAAATTCACCGCTACGGAACAGACACACAAGCACTTGAATTAAGCAAACACTGACGAAGTGAATGAAAAGCTACCGTTAAAATAAAATATAAAACCCCTGAATAAAACATGGATATTTAGGACTGGCGGAGGTGCCACCCTTCTTGAGAAACGGGCTAGCAGTTTCAAAACACGGTACCGGCCGCCGCCGGTCAGTAGCTTTGAGGCGTATCGTCAATGACGTAGGATCGTTCGCCCCGCGGCACACTGGTTCCACGTCACCTGAATTTGGTCACATTTTTGTACCCTTTCTCAAACTCGTCGACACTTGCCTGTTAAAACGTACCAATTTTAGTTTCGAAAATAAACAGCGAGCGACGCATGAGCTTTTCATTGGTTCAAGGACATTCTTCTACAGTCGTTTGGCACATTTATTTTTTCATCAGCTCGTGAAGCGTGATGGAAAAGTGCAGAGATAATATTTCAAAACAAGCCATTTTGGTTTGCAAATATAACCCTTGAAGGGCACTAAAACATCCTCAGGATGGCACCTCCCAGACACTTAAAGGCTACAAAAACTGGTCGACTCCCCAAAACCCTGCAATTTTTGCAGAGCGTCACATGCAAATCACTCGAAATGCACAGACAGGAGTCACAGAAAAAGAAAATTACTGCATGGAAAAAAAAGAACCTGAATATACATGAAGAAAACACTTCTTTAAAATCATCTCATGCCTGTTAAGCTGTGCTTGTTTTTCCATTCAAACCAAAAAAAAAAAGAGAAGAAAAATAGACCAAAAATAAATGCACATAACATGCTCAAAAAAATATGTCATCTATAGAAATCTGCATTTGCGTCACATTCAAAACAATATAAAAACTTAAACTATATTCAAATCAAGCCTCACAACAAATGGTTTTAAGTTGTCTCTCCTTCCACGATCCAAGCAGCCCACCTTTCCGAACACCTGTGAGTGCGAGCGTACTACCTTCGTTCAGAATAACAGTGTGTCTGCCCGTAAATGGATAATGGTGATGCCGCTTTGCATGTCTCACCCTCAGAAGCGCCGGCATAACTAAACACACAGACAGACAGAAGACCTCTTCGCACCTCATTATGAGATAAGTCATCCAACTCTCCGCTCTTTTACACCGATGGTCCTAAAAGAGGCGCGAACGCAGTTCTCTCAGCCTCAGCTTTGCGCGTGTCGCAGATTGACAGATGTGAACCCGCCCACCCCCAAGCTGAGACATAGGGACAAACACAGACAGGCAGAGACAGAGATTCGCCATATATGCAAACATTGTCAAGAAGATTATACTGTAGATGCACAGAGAAAGGATTCGTATATACAGTCAGATAAAAGACTCCAGGGATGCTGCTGCTGCTTTCTTCCTAAGTGGTCCCTCTAACCGAGACATCATGCATCGTCAACCGTCCACTGGCGTCTATGTACGCCGAAGCTGTTCAAGCGACTGGAGGTCTGCAGTTCAGTTTATTCCTGTGCGTTCAGGTTCCAACACTATTCTCGGAGCCGTTTACAGGGAGATCGAGGTGACGCGGCCTGGACTCGAGGAATTCTCAGGTGTCTCTAGTCAACATTTATTTCATTGGCACTTTTTGCACTTCTGTGAGTTCAAGGGGGAGGGGTTGGGTTCAAGAAGGGGGCGTGTCCTCGTAAACATCCCGCCACATTCCTTCCCATTGTGTCAAGCAGCGTAAATCACTCCACCATCGGAAAAACAAACAAACAAAAAAGACGAAAAGAGAAACAAAAAATACATTCAAGGTGAAAGAAAACAATTCTTCCAGGTGACAACATGGGCATATCCTTTAAAGCAACAACACCTACATTTTGCATCGTGTACACACACAAGTACACGCATTTAATGCACGTGAACGGGCACGCAGCAACCCAACTGAATTTGGTGTTTACAAGGGCCGAGCACCAAAAAAAAAGCTCCCTAATTTATACACTGTATGTTGTCCTCTAAGAGCACAACTTGGATGTGCACAACACTCGCAACTCATGCTGTTACACTTGTTCAATCCGACGGCGAGTATTACAGAAGTGTAGAAGACTTTTGTACTTTACAAGTACAGGACAGGGGTCGGGTGCCACAACAGTCCACAAATCAGAGTCCATCAAGTATGAAACTGCATGCATGCCACGCACCCACAATGTTGACAGAAAGTGGTGCAAAGCATACGCTTCAAGAACTGCACAGTCAGTGAGGTGGCCTTGGCGTTTGGACATGAAAAGACAATGGGAGTAATATTGTTCAAGCCATCGTCTATTGAGATTGTTTATATCTGATTAGCTCTCTCAGACCGAATGGCTCTAGTTTCCCTTGGCGAAAAGGATCCACCGGCTCCCACAGCAGAAGTACTGATACTGTCCGGCTCTAGCACACTGCCACTTGGGAAAGAAGCTCCAAGTGAACATTGGGTGGGTTTTTGGGACCCTTACAGCAGAGGCCTTAATCTTTGCCTGTATACGAGCATGCCAGCGTGTGCATGAAGAATGTGGGGTTCACAGAAGAAACAAGAGTGGCGTGCTCACAACAGAGGCACAGTATCCCAGCCTGCACCACTGGTCAAAACAAGGTCCCAGATGCAGCATTGACATCAGTGATTGTTCTTGAGCATTATCCTGGAGTGACGCCAACCCCAAGGAACTGTGTGTGTGTGTGTGTGTGTGTGCATTTGATTGACGGACAGTTGTGGAACAGCAGTCCAGCAGAACCTTTCAAGATGGACCATGTGGCGGCTCACTGTGCCGGTTGGGAAGCCTGATGGTGCTGGACAAGCGTTTAGCTGGGAGAGGGTGTGAGAGCGTGTGCATGTGTGTGTTGATGAAAAGGATAGAGAGGAGCAGTGGACAAGGGTGGCGGGAGGTGGGCGGCTCACAGGCCGTTGCTGTTGCGGTGAGTGAGCGGAGGTTTGGACAGTTCCACCACGTTAGTTCGCCCCTTGCCGATGACTTTGGGGGCACGACGCAGCAGCTTCTGGGCCTCTGTGAATGCTTCGGTGAGTTCTTTCTTCCACTGTACGAACTCTGGGTCACTCTGTGAGAAGAGGAACAACATTATAAATAAATTGCTAATCGGATTTATTATTTTAACAAAGCAAGAACACTAATGGATAAAACCCTAGTAAGCTACCTAGACAGCATTTTTAGGCACACTGGATGCAAAGGATATTTAAAACACGAGTTTGGACAAATGCATCTTTTGTAGATAAGGCAAAATCAGACAACATTCGAAAAGCCAGTCAAGGGAGATGTTAATTATAAATTTTATTCAAAAAGTATTGGTGCCTAGATGTGTTTTTTTCTGTTTATAGAAAAAAAAATGAATCCCTCCCTGTTCTAACTCATACCAGTGTTTCCTCATACCGGCCCGCCCCCCCCCAAAACGATCCCCCGCCCCCCCCTAAAATGCTGACGAAATCCAGTAAAAAAAAAAGGAATTTGGTGTATAACGCGGAATTTCACGGAATTTGTAAATGAGGAAAAAATAGAAAGCAGTTCAGTACACTTGAAATCAAATCGCGATGTAGACTAGTGTGTGTGAATATTAAAACACAAAGACTATTTAAATACGAATCCTGCATGTTCTGTGAGAATGAATGGTGCCGCGGACGCGCAGTTTCGTGTGACGCTTGCGCTATTTTTTGGCCTATATGAAGACACAAACGCATGAACTTCCTCTCCAGGCTCTAGATCCACTCTGAAAGTCACTTCGTGATCATTTCACCGCTTCATTTGAGAAAAACTATCATGATGACATAAACACACAGAAACTTCAAAAGGTCTTCACGGCAACCCGTCAAAATAAAAGTTTGGTTTAACTTGACAGAAATATATTAATGTTGTACATTAGAATTTAGATATGTCCCAATGTAATAATACACTAACACTAATCCAAATAAATTATCATCAAAAATTATCATCATGAAATTTTTAAGGAAAAATAAAGCTCATTGTGCAGCAAGTTATTTGACAAAAAGTTTATTTAATTTCATATGATTAAAATTGATGATAAATGATACAATTTGGGTTTTATGTCTTCATTTTATTTCCAGAAAAAAACGCAACACAGAATTAGTGTGACATTTTTTTTCATATAATTTAAAAAAAAGTATTGTTTAATGATTCAAAATACATGATTTCAATTAATTAGACATGCTTTTTGATTGCAAAAAAAATTAAACCACGTATCCGTAAACACGCCCGCTCCGCAACACTAGGATGCACTTCTGATCCTGCGCTGATGGGAAAAAATATTCTCGGCAGAAAGCAGACTCAAAAACTTCAAGAGATAAGAAACGTTTCCTAGAACAGAAGTTCATAGCAGTACATACGGAAGCCAACAGAGACTGATTTTTTCTGGATAATTTAATATTTTCACATATAAGAAAGCCCACAGAGGACGATATAAGAGCAAAAGGGGAAGAAAAAAAACAAAGGTTGGGCATTATGACCAAGGATTAATATTATGGTAACAGTATATCAGACAATATAATTGTTTTTACAAAAAAAAAATCATGGAAAAAATGTCTGTTGTTTTGTTTTAATATTAAATTATCATGCTGAAATAGCTTTTTATTGGGGGGGGGGGGGGAGATAATCCAGTCCAACATCCAATTAAATATTTTAATTTAATATCATTTATAAGAAGCCCACAGAGTCAGTGCTTTACTTTTTCAGCCCTATTTTTGTGACTGAAACCAGTTCGCTTCTCTTTTTTAAGAAAAACAAGGCCGTAATATAACAGTCACATATTACACTAGGTAAAAATGTATTATTAATTGTATATTATTATTATAAATTACATTATTTCATCTCATAAATGACATTTAAATACAAAATGTATGATTTATTTGGATATTTAATACTATTGATTTATAATAAGACTACTTACTATAGTTTTGTACAAATGCATAGGTAGCAATAAAAGTGAAGCAAGATAAGACAAGAACAAAAGAAGAAGAGAAAACCCCACAATGAGACAGTGAGAACAGCATGAAGGTGTCCTACCTCGCACTGCAGGACAAACTGTTTCCCTCCTTTGATCCTCAGCAGGATGCACTTTTTGTCCTTGATCTGAGTCTCCTCCACAGTCACGATCTGCTCCATGGTCAGCAGGTTTTGCTGGAGGGAGGAAAGACTAATTAGCGCATGCCTCTAAGAGTCTTCTCACAGACTATCCTACTGAGTTTGTGAGCAACACGCCATGCTACCCACTAGCTCTGCATGGGTGGGATTTTATTCTACTCTTCAGGTACATGCTATCTATCAGCGTCACTTGCACTGAGGTAGAACTTCTAGAGGTTGTCTCAGGCTATGAGGGTGACAAGCTGTTCTTGTACTAAATGAGTCATCAGTGTTGGTACAACAGGCTGCAGACGTAGCATCTCACGTAATCGTCTGATCTCGGATAACGGAGTCCCATCCGACCGAAGGATAATGGAAGACATCTCACTTCTGTACAAACATTTTTCCTCTAATTAAATGACAACCGCATTCAGTCTGGTTTCTATGGACCCTGATTTAAAATATGCTTCTATGTGAAAACCTAAACCTTATTCCCCCCTAAGAAGCCTTTTGCTCACCGTTCCAGCTGTCAGAATAGGAAATGATTTTCAAACACCACTATAAAAATCACAACATAAAACAAAGGATGCAGTGATCTTTTTTAAGTAATGGAAAAAGAAAAAAATTCAATACTAAGGTTAGGCAGAATGACCAAAGTTTTATATTATGGTAACAGTAAATTAGACAATATAATTATTTTTATAAAAATGTAAGTTTTCTTTATATTAATTTTTTTTTATATATTTTTTTTTATAATACAGTCAATTAAATATTTAGTGTAATATTATCATAAGTTCAAAAACACAATTAAAACAACATTTTGTTCACTGATCAATTTGACAGAATAGAAAATAATTTTTCAAATAACACTGTATTAGAGCATAAACCTAGTGATGTTCAGATTATTTTTGTGTTATGATAAAATATATATGTGAGCCATGCTGGCAAAATGAGCCGGAATGTACACAGGCTCATTACGAGCTACAGGCAAAACAAGTAAAAAAAAAATTCAATGTTTTCACAGAAATTTGTTTATTAAGCCCTCGTCTAGCAATCCCAATGCTCCAAATAGTAATTAAATACCTAAAAGTATCTTTATTTGTACGTTTCTGAGAGGATTACCTTTTTTTTGTCCATGAAAATGTCTTATTTCTTTGCTCGCTTCTCTGCGACTGGTGCTTCCCATCAGCACAAGTTTGTTATTGTTTTAAAGCGAAGCATTCCAACTTTGTGAATATTCATAGCGAATTCTAGATGGCATGAGTCTGAACCAATGAAATGTGACGTGCGCACAAAGACTCTCAGACAGAGCGCAATCTCGATATACACAGAATTACAGTAGCCTATTTCAAAATATCGGTCTTGGCGCGTATTCACGCAAACATTATCTGTTATGACTTAAGTTAACGTTTGGTTAAATGTTGGGGAAAACATCTGATGTAAAACATTTATATTAGATCCGTGCGATACAGTAGGTCTTAATATATAGGGCTGTCTGTCTCAATGTTAATCAAATAATTGTGGTATCATGGGGGGGAAAAAGTATATACATATTTTCCTATAGATATTTGTTTATGACTTGGTGTGTGGCAAATTTGGTGCTATTACCATCGATTTTAAGGTATGGTTGCTAGGTGATTTTGTTTTGAAACCTTCAGAAAACTTCGATTTTTCTCAAAATTGACTTTGCTGACTATCGACTTCAAACAGGTGCAGCTCATTCATTTTTTTTTTGTCTGATTCCAACATACATCATTATGAAGGTTTTCTAATAGGGAATGTGAAAATAACATTTTGCTAGCATGGGTCATATGTATATATGAATACAAACTATATAGCCAATATTACATATATATAATAAGGTTGGGCAGTATGAACCAAATTTATTTAAAATATTAGATTACCATGTTGTAATAGCAACTTTTGGATAATCCAGTGAATTTAATTTTAAATTGATAATTAATAATATGAACTATTTTCATTTGGAACAGGATGAGTGCAAAATACATCAGTCTGACATAAGTTCAAAATGTACAATATATAGCACTTTAAAATCAAATCAAATAGATGAATGAATGAATTAAAGCCAGGTTGCCTCTCTAAAAGTTAAAACCAAAAACAACTGCAATGTAGTCAAGTATAAGCATCACTGCTTCCAAATCTGACTTGTAAGTGGCCTCCCTCTTTGTCCATCTCCATGCATCTCATCTCCAGTATATTCCACAGGAAGTGCATTTACCCTTCAGATTGAAGATTCAGGAGCTCAGGAAGTTAAAAATGCAGGAAACTGCTTTATCTTAGTTACAGATCAGGGCAGAAACTCTCTGGCCCCGGGGAATCTGCAGTGACCTACTTCTGCATTACACAGACCTGCGCGCAAACGCAATCGCTTCCTCCGGATGGGAAAGACTGAGGGATTGGTTTAGCGGTGGAAAGAAGCAGATGATATTAAAAGGAGAGGTGGGCGTCTCAATGTTTCACGGCTTCACTTAACCACCCAGGCTGCAGGTGAACCTGCGTCACTATGGGAATTTCGCAGTAGGATGGAGCACTACGCAGGGCATCAGCTAATCTTTAAAGTGATGCGATTCCTCCTCCCCTCCTTTTCAGAATATTTAAGAAAATCATGATAATTCCTGGTCTAAAACAGATGATGAAAAATGAGAGGAGAGGGGGAATCAGCTAAAATGCACCAGACTCACCTTGAATTTACGTTTTTTTAAAGTTTTAGTCCAATGTTCCTACAGCGCAGGGACACACAGGCAATGTTCATTCTCAAAAAATGGCCGATTAACCCCTTATACAGATTCAAACAAACAAAACACACAAAAACACTTACCCGAGACTCTCCTTCGCCTCTCCACTCAACGCGGTTGGGAAATAGGTAGAAATACCGCCGCTGCCACTGTGTCAGGAAGGGGTTTCCTAGCTTCAGCATGTAGCCGTGCATAATACAGTCCTTCCCCAGCGCGTAGTCTGCACAAACACAACGCACAGGCACTCGCAATTACATAATGATCAATTGTTGGACACTCAACGTCATCTTGTTACAAATAGCTGTATTTACTTAAATTTTGGTATTTTCTCATTCATATTCATAAAAATGCTGTGTTCTGGAGAAGAAAGTCACATTTAGAAAGACATGAAAGTGAATTATATTTTTGGGTCACCTATTCCTCTTAACTCTCACTGAGGTTTAACCCATTTGAATTCCTTCTCACAACTCCTGTGCTTGTATCTTGTGGTCGTGACGCATGCGATTAATTCAGTGTTTGCTAAATTACATGGGCTCTTTCAGATCTATTTCTGACCATCACACAGACAGTCATGTGATGGGTGCTGTGTCTTTCCCTTGAGGGAAGCACATGGCACCAGCACTGCTAACAAGTGCGTAGGGTTCAAGCCTGTCCTCGAGGTCGCTGGTGGAACTGACACTGGACCAGTGAAAGATGATTAGCTGACGTCACCTGGGCCTTTAATTCATGCTGGAGAATGTAGCACTACCATAGCAGAGGCCGTTTTCTTCTCTCGGCACCACTGTGTGAAATTACTGCTTGTCAATTCCGTATACGGCTTATGATTTAATGCAAACTAGTTTCCACCAAAAAAACAATCTTTTGGACCCCCTTAAAACCTGGGTAAATGACCGAGTGCTGCAGACAATGTGACGCCTAGAGTGGCTGTTCATTAAAATTTCATGAAACCACTGCCAAACAATCCGCTATAGTTCTCAGAAGTTAGAAAATGAGTTTGCTGAATAAGAGCAAACAGTATGTTTACAAACAGCATTTTGCAACCAGCTGTTCTGTGTACATTGTCATGACACAAACACTAGTCACAAAAATATGAAAGTGTATATGAAAATATTTTATTTTATATTTTTTTATTATTATATATTAATAATTAATATATTTATAATTTTTTATATTTGTTATTTTATAAAATTGAATAAAAAAGTAAAGACTTTTTTGAAAGAAATTAATACTTCTTTTCAGCATTAAATTAATCAAAACTGACAAAAGACATTTAAAAATGTTCCAAAATATTTCTATTTCAAATAAACGCTGTTCTTTTGAACTTTCTATTCATCAAAGAATTATGAAAGAAAAAAAAAATGCATCACGGTTTCCACAAAAATATTAACCATCACAACTGTTTACAACGCTGACAATAATCAGAAATGTTTCTTGAGCAGCAAATCATCATATTAGAATGATTTCTGAAGGATCATGTGACACTGAAGACTGGAGAAATGATGCTGAAAATTCAGCTTTGATCACAGGAATAAATTACATTTTAAAATATATTTAAATAGAAAAGTTATTTGTAATATTTCACAAAATTACAGTTTTTACTGTATTTGATCAAATAAATTTAGCCTTGGTGAGCTTAAGGGATTTCTTACAAAAACAAAAAAAATCGACCCCAAACATGGAATGATCGTGTATAAATATAATATAAAATAACATTTTATTAATGAGCTATCTTACATTAAGGAAATGAGAATTTGGGGGATAATGCACAGAAATGAATGTCACAATAAAAAAATCCTAATGTGCAGTAGGGGTGTAACGGTACATGTAATCGTATTGAACCGTTTCGGTTCGAGGCTTCCGGTTCGGTACGCATACAAACCGAACGATTCCTTGGACCATTTTTCCTGCAGACAAAATCCGCGCTGGCGCGATCACCACAACGTTGCGCAACATCAAATGGCAAACCTAATGAAAGCGGAACGAAACTGCGCTACTCATTATATTGTGCTTCACGGACCGTTTATCAGTTCGGACCAGCAACATCTGTGCAGCGCGAGATCAAGCGACACTGTGCTGAGAGATCCAGTGAAGAAAACATTTGAGTTCTCCACTGAAGTAATAACATCGCTGCGAGATCTAGTGAGAAGCATTCACATTTCTCCATTATTAACCGTAGATCTCTATTAGATCAAACAGCGCTGACATGGACACCAGGAGAAACATTGTGCCGTGAATGAACTAGTAATACTTTACGTCCACAGACCAGCAACATTCACCATGGGTTTAATATAGTAACACTCACTGTAACCAGTTTGGCTGGAATAGTGAAATGCTTTCAAGTACTTCACACATCTTTTTCCAGCACTTCAAAACTCAAATAATATATAAATAAATATTTAAATGTTATTTTTAATGTGATTACCAAAACATTATTTGTTCATCCTTCAAAGATGACCCCCATTTATAAACCTGAAAGTTTCAAGATGTAGGAAAACTCAGTTATTTAAAAATATTTTTTCTTTTAACAAATAGGAAATTTCTCTGGCATTTCTTTCTTTTTGCTGTATCGAAAACGTACCGAACCGTGACTTTAAAACCGAGGTACGTACCGAACCGTGATTTTTGTGTACCGTTACACCCCTAATGTGCAGTGTTTTACCTTCTTCATGGCCCTGCTGCTTGTTTTTGGCCCGCTTGCGCGCCTCGTTCTTATCTGTGTCGCAGTTGACAGCGTCATACACAGTCTCGGCCACCTCCTGCTGCCAGCGCTCAGAGATCACCAGAGGAAAGTTCTTATAGAGCTCCTGATCACTGTCAAGCAGCTGAGAGAGACACATAAAGATGACAATGACATTCAATTCAGACAGTTTCTTTCTGTCTACATGGGCAGTTTTAGCGAGAGTAAGTTGCAATGTGGACTAGACTTTTTGCTGGAAGTCAAATTCTGGCTACAGGGAGACATTTAAAAACCTCACAGCATAATGGAAAATTCCATCAGATTTTAAAGCATGAAATCCAAGCTCAAGTGCTCTTTGATTTTATACAGCTCTTTCAGTGCAAGACACAATCTTGGGTACACTTGAAAAAAAGTAGTCCACTGAGCCGAAGCAAAGACATCAGGCTTGAGCACCAAGTGGAATAAGTGGAAAGTTTGGTCCCACGGTGACTGGTTTTACCTTAATTCCCTTGGTGTCCTCCTCGTCGAAGGAGCCGATGTCAAAGGCGTCTGCAGCGTTGACCTCTCCTCTGGGGGGAATGAGGGGTGGGGGGTACTGCAACCAAACAGCAGACGCAGAGAATTCATATTACACAAACCATATGAAAAATAATCATGGTGGGAATGTGTAAAACAACCGACAAGTTCATCTTGCAGAATAAACGCTCATTTACATCAGGAGTGTTAAAAAACAGTCATAAAACACAAAGCGCATTAGTGCTCGACCACTTTTTCTGCTGCGTTGATTCCAGAAGTACTTTTTACATTCATATAAGTCTTTGTTAAAGCATTATGTCATAAAGCAAGCCAACCAGCTATGAGTTGAATCACAAAAACTTTTTTTAAAGCAAAAAGTATTTGAGAATTAGGCAAAAAGACAAAAGTTACAAGACTGTGTACTTAACGGCTTGAGTGAGTGAAAGAACTACAATTCCATGAAGCATTGTGAATGACGATTAAAAAGGATCCAATTAAAAACGATGGGGAAATATAAAACTATTAATTTAAGTTGTTGATTATATCTATAGAAACAATATGTTTGCAAGTTTATTGTGTGATAACATATACAGTACACAAAATTTTAAGTATTTTGATAGCATAGCAAGACTCTATTACGTCATTTGTGGTGCTTCATGGGAGTGGGCGTTCCCTGCAAGCTCTTTTGGCATGATTTGCTCTCCACAACTCTACAATTGGTGGAATTCTGTACAGCATCATGGGTAATATAGCTTTTCACCACCAATTCAGTAAAAAATTATGTGAATGGATGGCTACAATGAAAGTGTATACCATCGATTGACAACCTCGTAAAAGGTTTATAAGTTATCATTAAAAATGTATTGACCAATGGAGAAAATTGAGTTTTTACTTCTGGAACCTGACTGTTGCACTCTATTGGCTCAGTAACCAACTATAACCTTTTATTTAAAATAAACATAAAAAAATCATAGTCCTCATCATACAGAAATCTACAGATTGTGCACACTAATGGGAACACTGCTCACAGGAAGTTATTTGAGGTCTGACAGTAATTGTCTTATAAAAATGTATTGTTGAAGGCTTTGTGCAATGATGGTGCTGTAAAGGGGATGAAATTGGAGTCACAACTTCCTGGAGAGGACTTTAGCATGCTAACAGCCACTGTGTAAGCACTCTAATACACACTCTCCGTGATGATGTTTGTCTAAATTCATTCCTTTTAAAGCAGCAGCCCTAAAAAGAAAAAAAATCTTAGCCTTGCTAATCGATTGCTAGTCAACTATCCGGACTCTAAATTAGATCAGTTAAACATTGCTGTTACACAAAACCATATTCTAACAGACTATATGTTACTCAACAAGGTGTCTTAGGGCTGATCCCGAAAACAGAAGGTCAAAGGTCTCACCTTCTGGAGATAGACCTGCTGCCAATCGATTCCCTTGAAGAACACATGCTCCTTTACCTCTGACGCCCTACAGTGTGTAAAAGAGATCACATTCAGACAAGTAAAGTAAAATTTATTTGTATAGCGCTTTTCCCAAAAGACACGGTTTCAAAGCAGCTTTACAGAAGATCACAATGTTAATGTTTATACTATCTTTATATTTTCATGCCTTATAGTTGTATTTAGCAGATTAGAGAAGTGCGATTATATAATTTACATTTTGCGACGATACAAGCAATTTTGTGAAAAAAGAAGGCTTTGCTATACAGTACATATTGCTTTACAGGTAAAGTAGGATGTACTTTATCAACCATCCCCACTTCTGACCAGCAGGTGTCAGCAATTCAGAACGAGCTGCAAATAATTCCCAGCATGCTCTTCTGCCTAATCTAAATGCTTTCAGACAGTCGCTCCATCCAGACAAGAGGCACCAAACTATTTTTTCTATTATTTGAGTAGTCCACTACAAACAAAATACAAATAAATAAATAAAAAACATAAAACGTGACCGCAGTATTTCAGATGTCTAATCTTGAAGATGGAGAGTGTTTGACTTACCCCCGCCCCAGACACCCCAATCTTTTGGCAACATCTCGCTGTAAGAGTCCTTCCAAGAGGGACTTAAGCTCAGGTGAGAAGGAGTCAGGCAACTCCACATTCTGAGGAAACAGAGGAACAGGAAGTGGCTCATGATTTCGATTGATGTCAAATTAAACATGACTTTATGCAGTGTTGCCTAGTGTTTGACAATTCGAGTGAGTGAGTGTTTGCTTTTGTTTTATTAGCTTTCCTCATTAGTTACACAGAAAATGCATTAGTAAAATGCAAATATGCAGGAACAGCAAACTTTCTACTTGCCATCTAGATCAACAGAGCATTAACAGTACCCAGTGCTTAACGGTATTTAAATATCCTCATAATCATACAAATGAATGTGAGGACAACCAAAAAAACAATTCGCTTACATAACAGGCAGTGTGCCAACTGCACATTCAAATCAAGGTCAACATTCACTAAAGTCACAGTAAATGCAGATGAACAAACGCAAATCAGGCTGTCAGGTACCATCACAGTAACGCTGAACTAGATACCTTGCGTTATAGTTTTTTTTGAGTGGTTTTAGCATGTTTCTATGTAGTTGCTAAATAAACTACTGTTACAAAGTTTTTATTAATCAAAGAATCCTGAAAAAAAATTATCCACAAAAAAGGACACATAAAATATTTCTTGAGCAGCAAATATTAGAATGTTTCTGAAGGATCATGTGACCCTGAAGGCTGAGGTAATGATGCAGAAAATTCAGCTTTACCATGACAGGATACATTTTATTAACATCTCACATTACTACTGTTTTAGAGGATTTTTGATCAAATAAATGCATCCCAACTTTTGAACAGTAGTCTTTGGTTGCAAACTTCAAACTTCTGTGTCATGATTAAGTTGTCCAGTCCAATCTTAACTAAATCTGATGAGAGTATAAAACCGCTTATTTTACAAGTTACCCTCTAAATCCTTGACTAATGAAATATGGAGATAATTTTCCCTGGGAGGTTGGCATCCGAAAACAAACCCCGAGTAGCTAAATTATTGTCAGGATTGTCAGGGGTCCACTAGAAATTCTTTTATTTCATTAGGAAAAAAATTAAACAACAACAGTCTTGGCTCAAAATCTTTGTGTTCCAGTTTCCAAATAAAACATTATCTTGCTGCCTGTCAGGGGAAAACTGTTTATCATATTTAAGTGCATCATCCGGGGTATTTAAATATTATTTCATTATTTTTCTATTTGGAATTCTCAATGTGAACATTACTCACACGATTTATATTACAAAAGGTCAAAGAATTAGGGCTGCCCTCGACTTAAAGATTTTTCTAGTCGACTAGTAGTCGTTCATTTAAGCGATTATTAGTTCACTAATCGTGTGTATATTAATAAGCCATAAATCATAATAATGAGCCTTTAATTGCCTATATATTACATAACCTAATCAGCACTAAAACACACGCATAAAGCTAGAAATTAAGTCACGATGCTGACTCGTCATCTCCGCAGTAGTGGACGCACGTATATGCACGTTTCATACGGATGACATAATCTGAGAATATTTATTTTCCACTTGAATTCGTTAATTTAAAAGTAGACATGTCAAGCTTTCTATAGATATATTTCTCATGTCTGTGAGGAAAGTATACACTGAGTTACGGTTCACTGAGACCAAGACGGCAGAAAGCACATCCTGATTGTTTTCATTATTTTACAAAAGCACAACATTTTGTTGTTATTGTAAGTTAGGAGCCTGTAAGTCATGCAGTAAGCGTTTATGCGCTTAAGCTCCTAACACTTATGCGCCTAATAATAGCGCACATTTATCTAGGTTAACATTAGAGCGAGCGGACTTGTAATGTTGCTACTACTTACATGTTTCAAGTGATAAGCCATATTTAAAGGAGCTGTATGTAAAATTGTGGCCAAAACTGGTACTGCAATCACTGTCAAATTGCTGTAGAGTGGTGTATCCCCTCCCCCTCCTCCCTGACTCGAGGTTGCCAGATCGGCTGCAGGATCCAGCAGGAATGTGACGAGCTGCAGCTGTGGTAACTACAGCAGAGCTGGCAACCCGGATGCCGCAACACTACTGACTTCGTGATTGGTAGATAGGTGGAGGGTGGAGCATCAGACCAAAACACAACATGACAACATCAACATCAGTTGAGGGCTGCAACTGCACTTTTTAAATGACAATATCCTGGCCAGACTACTGTTGTCAGTGATATAAGTATTTGAAATGTACATGATTTCTTAATGTCTATTGACATTTCAGGGTCATTTTATGATTAATTGAAATAAATTTCTTACATACAGCTCCTTTAAGGTCGATCAATGATAGGCGAATGTTTGGATTTCTTGCCATAAACGTTCTGTCCATCATAGACTGCGTGATTTCTCCACTTCCTGTGGAGGTTTTCTTTTTTCTGCGACTAACCGACTAATAAAATGTTCGTCGCCCAAACCTCTTCTAGTCGACTATTAGGGGGCAGCCCTAGAATAGTGCATAAATATGTGAATTGGGACGCACTTTATGTTTTAAGTTATAATGACTCATTTAAAACTACCTTCATAAGCAGCGATATAGAATCTAGTTACCTGATACTGTAATAAGCACACAAATACATGGCACACACAAATACTGTGTATTTCTAATTAGTTGTAACTATTTCCTATGAATATTTTTCAATACTGAAAAAATAAATACATTTCTAATTGCCATTTGCACTGAGCTAAGTCTTCGCAATGTATTCTGGGACTGCCTTATCGGTGAAAGAAGCATGCAATGCTGCTTTTGATTTTAATCAAAGCCAGGTGTCTCAGAAGGCAGCATATTTTTGCCTTGGGAGAATTCACGCCTAAGTAGACAGCTCACTTGTGTCTTAGCTTTAAAGGGAAACCACAAAAAGTCCCAAATCAGCATTAAAAACAAGTGACTTCCTTTCTAGTGACTGTACAACAGTCAAGAGCGTTGCAGCTCGGTGAGGACTAAATTACTGCAATGGTGAGAGGAGGACAGTAAATGCAAAGCGTGGATGCAAATTCCTCTCCATTAGCGTTCCCTTGTTAAACAGTGGGTGTAAAGGCACAGGTGCTCCAATGATGAAATGCTCGCTCTTCACTTCCACGGAAAGCTGTGGCTCCTTTATCTCCCGTTTCACTGCAATATCCGTCATTCAGCATTAAGATGCTCTCCAAAAGACACTTTCCAGTTTGAACTTCATTTATAGGTAATACTTCACAAGAAGTTTTTTAAAGCTATAACTAAGATCTGTGTGGTTGCGAAGATGTTCTAGGTAACTGCTGCCCTATTTTTTTCTATGGGATTTTTCAGTCCATTTCATCATGCACAATGTAGCAATTTTAAATTAGATCACTCTCATATATATATATGTGACTATGTGTGAAGGTACATAAAGACAACAGAGAATGGCAAAAATAAAACTGCGTGTAGTTTCTTACCATGGTAAGGGTCATGCGGTCAATTTCATGTTTGTCTTTGGTCTTGTGCTGCCTGAATGGACTGTGCCTATGAGAACAGAAGAAACAGAGTTCATGTAACCGCACACAAGTGCTCAAACTCGCAACGTCAAACAGAGGACACATGTGGTGATTTAGCAGTGACAGGTAGGCGGGAGGGGGGGTTTCCATGAGAGTTCAAAAACCTTTCACTCTCAGTTGTTGACTGCGACACAAGCATTATCATTGTCTAACTCATCGTCTTGATGTAAATCAAAAATTGAGATAGATCGGCATCCATTAGATGGCTTATTAGGGCCCGAGCACCGATGGTGTGAGGACCCTCTTGGAATTGCTCTGTTTATTGTTAGTTGTAATTGATAACTAAAACCTCAAAAAATGATATGAATTATTTATATAAAATTACAAATAATAGTTTTTAAATATATACACACATACATATATATATTAATATTGAACATTAAATAATTATGAACATATGAACAAATGTATGAATGTATGAACAAAAAATGTACATATACATAGTTATATATATATATATATATATTTAAATTATTATTTATAATTTTATATAAATAATTCATTTTTTTAAATCATTTAATTTTTACTTATATATACACATACATACACACACACACATTTTATATTAGGGGTGGAACGGTACATGTATTCGTATTGAACCGAAACGGTACGGGCGTCACGGTTCGGTGCACAAATTTACACGGAGAATACACGGTTTAGAAATTAATGTAATGCGGAACTACTGTTAGATACGCGGGTTCTTTAAGGACACATAATCTGTACCATCGGCTTAGTTCTGAACGCGCGTTCACTTCAAACGTTGACGCGCGTCTTATTCGCTTTGGACTAGGTCTTTTTGTCTTTTTATTAATTAAATGAATTAATAAACTAATTATATAAAACTATTGTCAGTGCATTACAAATAAACTGGTTCTATGCCTTTATTAATAAAACTTATTAAAAAAATTCAAAGCCTTCTGCATTTTTGTTTTGCTTTTCCCTCCATTGTACCGAAATCGTACCGAACCGTGATGTCTGAACCGCGTGAACCGAACCGTGACGTCTGTGTACCTATTTCATATGCACAATTATTTATGTGGAGTGTAAAAGTTAAATGTATAGAAAGCTTTCCATGCCTGTTCTGACCCGCTTTCATTCTGCTTTGAAGTGTGTGTGAGACATACAACTCAATGGAAAGACATGCACCAGGCTCCCCCCCCCCATTACATCTTCCTCTCACCCCCCTCTCACTCTCTACCTAGCAACCGTTTCAGTGGTCTCCACCCCCTCTCTTTCTTCCTTTTTTCTCTGATGTCTGCTCCTGACCTCCTGCTTCCAAACCCCTGACATTTAAACCTTACACTCCACATCAAACAGGTGAGAAACACAGACAGACAGACAGAGAGAGAGAGAGAGATAAAGAATTCATGAGCGGGCCGCTGCAGAGGGTGGTCTTACCCTCGCAAGAGTTTGAACAGCATGCAGCCCAGAGAGAACCAGTCGGCGCTGCTGTCGTACGCTGTTCCTTTCTGCAGAACCTCAGGTGCCATGTAGCCATGGGTACCTCTGCAAACACAGCAATTAATGCACATTAAAATCAAACTGTACAACCCCTCCAGGCTGAGCACACACTGACTGTAAACATAACAAAGCTCATTCTTATACATAACACAAACAGTCAAAAGAACTGCTACATTAGTCCACTCTCCCAAAAACTAATTTTGTTATGCATTTTAATTTTGTTTTCCATCCTCTCTCTGACCCTTTGAATTTACCATGATGTTTTTGCTACTGTGCCTTTAAGATTGTACCGTCTATATTTAAATGAGCACATTTGTTGAATAACTGCTTTTTTTTATTGAAATGAACATTAAATTAGTGCTGACATGTAAACGTTGGGGGTAAATATGTTAAATTGTCACAGCTATAGCATCATATCCACAAGAACTTCGTTTCAGCTTTGCTTTGCAAACATCAGTTTGTCTGCTTATTGCACCAGCACTACCATTTAAAAGTTTGGGGTAGTGATTTATTTTTAAATAAATTATTTTTGTTCAGCAATGACGCTGATTTTTGTTGATCAAAAGTGACAGAAAGCTTTTGTGACATTATAAATGTCTCTTCTATTCAACCCTCTATGCACACCTTGGGAATAGAATCGCCATTGGCTAGTAAATATTTTATTTAACTCGCCAGACTGATATATATATATATATATTAGGGCTGGGCAAGTTAACGCGTTATTATCGCGTTAACGCATTTTTTAATTAATGCCGACAATTTTTTTATCGCACGTTAATGCAGATTTTTTTATTATTATTTTGAAAGTCCGTTGCTCACTGGCTCTGAATACACATAGGCCTACAGTCAAACCATGGATCACAGGAGGAGTGGGATGTTGGTCAGCCAGCAAATAACCCACCCAAACAAGCAGTGGAGAGGCTTTGGCAGGTTCTCTCAGGTGAACAGAAAGGGTGACAGCGCTCCGCGAGTGAATGACAGGCGCTCTATGGATAGTAACCATGGCAACGGCTTCTGTGCGCTACGCAGCTGTAGCCTTTTTAACTTAAATTAAAATTATACATAACCTTACCTGATAGGCCTGCGTTTAGTTTAGCGGAGGTGCTCTGCCATGTGAATTCCCTTCTGTTGATGACGTCCTGATAACTATTTAGATTGTGGAAACTCACAAACAGCGAGCCGAGGATCAGTCTCTCTTCCAATGATTTGTGCTGCGCGTCGTGTAGCTACAAAAAGTTAGGCTATTGACAATTCAACTTCAACACGCGCGTGCGTGAGGCGAGCATGACCGCAACATTTCACAGGAACGCACCCGCTTGTCGCTGCACCTGTGCTCGACCACTTCACCTCACTCTAGGGCTAGGCTGATTTATAATTCTGCGTCGGACCTACGCCGGAGCCTCTACGCTATAGACTACGCGTTGGTTTTTATTTATACTTCTGCGTCGTTGTCCCCCTTGACGAGCAATTACACATGCAGAGGGAGCATGCATGTGAAACCCGGGGAGCGGTTCTAGCAATCACAGCGCTTGCGGTAGGCTACGTGTAGAATTGACGCATTGTTAAATTTTTGGAGAGGTGCACGTCAGGGTACGCGCACTACTCACAGCAGGTACGTAGCTACGGCGTGAGTTCGACGCAGAAGTATAAATTGGGCTTTACATCTTTTTAATGTAATCTTAGTGTACGTGGGAAACCATGTCATACTATCAGAGAAGTAACGTTGGTCGACTTATATCTGTAGTAGTGGTCATGACAGTGTTGTAGTCGAGTCACCAACTGTCGAGTCTGAGTCGAGTCTCGAGTCCCAGTGTTCGAGTCCGAGTCCAAGTCCGAGTCACCAAAGAAGAGTCCGAGTCGAGTCCAAGTCGAGTCACCATTACCTGAGTTCAAGTCCGAGTCGAGTCTCGAGTCGAACTTATATACACTTAAGCCAAATCAAGCAACATTTTTCAGGCACTCTTTCTTGCAGCTAGAAATGTGTATGATAGCCTATCACTAGAATTGCCTTTGACCTTATCAAATCATTGTCAACTACCTAAACTGTGGCACGATTATATTTATTTAATTGTTTAAATACATTTTTGGATGATCAGTCAACTGGAATGGATAAAGAAAACAAAAAAGAAAGCCTAATTGGACAGAGGAGGAGAAATGCATTCTTCTTGACGAATATGGTAAAAGAAAAACAATTTTGAAATTTTGAAAAGCAAACTAAATCCCAATGTAACTGCGGCAAAACCCCCCAGAAAATGCAGTGCTATAAGCAGTTGTAACTCTGCAGGAAAAGAGTGGTTGCGATGTGTGACATAGTCAAGGTTGCCGTCTAGTTTGTTAGCTAAAATAAACATTATTGTGTTATTGTGTATGATAAGCGGGATTAAGCGCTGAGCGCGTCCGAATTTGGCTCAGCGCCAGCCATAGCACGAAAGCATAGTTTAAATCTGGCAGTTATGTCACGTCACTGTACGTTCGCTCCTTAGTGGGCAGCCCAGCTGCTGCAAAGCGTGCCAAAATCGAAATTGCTGATTAGATGTAGAGGAACTTATCTAGTGTTAAGTGTTACGTTATCTCTCTCACGAGAATGCAGCGTAAAGTGAGTGACGTCAGTGAGTGTGTTGTCAACCAAGGAGAGCGAGCGGTAGCAGTGTCTGTGAGGGAAAAAATAGATCACGGCCGGTCTTGGACCCCGAAACAGGAAAAGTTTAACATCTTATATCAAATTTTTATAACCTATTTAGTCAGAAACAACGTCATTCATTTGATGAATGCTCAAGTCCGATTTTATATTTTCGAGTCCGAGTCCAAGTATAGTCATCAGTCCGCGAGTCCAAGTCGAGTCACGACTCCCGAGCATGGAGTCTCGAGTCGGACTCGAGTCCAGAGAATAAGGACTCGAGTCGGACTCGAGTCCGAGTCCAGGACTCGAGTACTCCATCACTGGGTCATGACCTCTGACTACATAGACTGTTTCTGCTGCTCCCTGATAAAAGATACCTGTTGATACCTGTTCAGAAAAAAAACAAGAAAACTGGACTCGTTTTAACAAGGTAGATTAAAGATAATGCCCTGTCAGTGACATAGCTTTGTTTTAATATTTGATTTGATTACAATAATGTTTAAGTTGAGATTTTCAATAAATATGTTATTGCTACTGTGGGAATACTGCTGGTATAAAGCACCTTATTTGTTTAAAGTTTTTGCAAACCACATGTTATTGCACTTTTGTGTATATAGCAGTATATTTAAATCAAAAGTGCACAATACACTACTTTAGAATTCATTATTCACTCTTGCGTGTAACAATTGCGATTAATCGCAATAAATTCATGCGATTAATCGCGATAAAAAATTTTAATCGTTGCCCAGCACTAATATATATATATATATATATATATATATATATTAGTGCTGTCAAACGATTAAATATTAAATCGCGATTAATCGCATTAATGTCAAAGTTAACTCACGATTAATTGCAATTAATCGCACATTTTTATCTATTCTAAATGTCTCTTGATTTCTTTTTGTCCCATTATTTTTTCTAATTTTAATGCTCTTATCAACATGGAAAAGTGGATCGGCTTGCTTTGTGCAAATGTTTTTTATTGAAAACAACATTGACAATACTGTGTTCAATTTCACACTAAAACATTTTCACTTGGAGCAAATAATCTCTCACACAATGTAACACTGTCCATTAGGGGTGGGCGGTATGACCAAAATTCTATTTCACGGTATGACTCATTTTATTTCACGGTAACGATATATTTCACGATATAGATATTTATATATGTAGTTATTCTCGAAAAATCGACAAAAAGGGCTTTGTATAATAAATAAACCCAAATACTTTAGAAATGAAAAGTACTTCACATTGTTTTCTTTTTCTCTTATTTGGTCAATTATTTATTTGGTAAACTATTTAGATAGCTAAATATAAACAAAACACACTCATCAACTTTTAGATAAACTGCCCCCAACTGATTGATATTAAATACAACTCATAGGTGCAATTAAACTTTAAATAAAGTGTTTCTGAATCATTTTTCAATCTCATGTTATGCTTTACTTCATCAATCAGTTTATAATATCTGAATATTTTATATTGAACTATTCTATTCATGATAAATTAGTTACTTCCTTTTAATTTTGTAGGATAGTAATACTAGTTGTTTAAATGTGTTCCCCGGTACATTTTTGCCATATCTGCTTAGGCTACACTGCGTTTTAAGGGGCTTGTTTTGCACTTTTTGTGATATCTGGCAACCCGTCACCCTGCGCTTTAATCAATAGAAGTTCAGAAGTGACTAGCAGGAGAGCAGCAGTTTGAAAACCGAACAGCAGCTACTGTTAGTGTTGACTAAGTAGCCTAGTTTAAATTATACACACCTTGTAACTGCGTCATTATTTGACCATAGCCCGGTGAACACCGCGCTCCCTCAGTGCGTGTGCACGCGCGCGTCTTCTGCATCAGTAAAATGCGATCGGTTAATTTGAGTGTCAAGTTGTAATCACGTATCGAATCAAAGGAAGATTTTATCAGCTGGTTCGGTGGCCAATTGTTTGGAGTTAGAAATATATAACTCGCGATGCATATTTAGTAATTTTGCCTCAGATAGGCTACAGGATTATACATTCACTTTAACCCTCTGGGGTCCAAGGTGTTTTTGGGGTCCTTGAGATGTTTTGACATACTCTGACATTTGTGCTTTTTTCAGTTGCTTATAAACATATTACTGGCAAAGGTGTAATTACACTCTATTTAGCACAAACAGGGCTACCATAATGTGTTATCAACATGTATGTACATTTTTGTATTTTTGAGAGAATATTGTTTATGCGTGGTTATTGAAAAAACTAAAACTTAAAGTTTCTGAAATAAGGCCACAAAACACATACTAAATATCTGTCCACAAGACTTTTGACTAATGGATGTTGTCGCCTAGAGTTTTTTCTTCAAAATGATCTGAAAATCATCCTGCCTTATCATTCACATAAAACAATAGATTGGTTTAAATATAAAAATGACACTTTTTGTTTGGAAAGGCAATATGCGCAGGGGTGTGACCTGCTGTGATTCACACCTGAGAAGACAATGGGCCCGCATAATGAGCGCATAATGAGGGGTGCATACTAATGACCCTTTCATTCAGGTGTGTCACTGAGCCACAAGAATGCAATGACAATATATATATATATATATATATATATATATATATATATATATATATATATATATATATATATATATATATATATATATATATATATATGCCTATATAATACAAAATTGGTTCACAGTGCCAATTATTTATTTATTTTTCAAATTGTGCTTGGAAATTGTATAATATCAAATGTAAAAATTTCTAGTAATTGTGCAGTTAATTATCATACTGTTTTTACAGAAAGTTTGGGAATGTATCCCAAATGTGTCACTAATAAAACACAATACAAATAATTTAAAGAGGAGGCTTATATTGAGCTTTTAAGATTTACCTAAGATTTATTTATATGTAGCCTACATTTATTTTTGCTATTTTAATAAAAAGGTTACAATTACAACAACAATTAAAATTTTAACTATATTTCAAATGTAATCTTTCTTTGTATTATATAGGTACTAAAGTATACATTTTATCATACATATTTCACAGTTGCGGATTAATTAGTTTGAATATAGCTTACCATCGAACAAACACTATAATAACATCTTAGCAAACAAGCTTATTTGATGTGGCAGTATTTTACAGTAAAAACGACATCTTGTCTTTCATATGTAACATATCGTTTTTATGATTAGGACATATAAATGTTAATTTGCAGTTTAATACGTTGCTTATACAAAAATATTTTATTTCAACATATTTCAGTCGATTTTTACTCATCTCAGTATTGGAATATAGTTAGGTAAAAGCTGTTCATTCATTCACACACAAAAACGCGATTCAAACAGTCTTTTTGTTTACAGACACTATTCCATATCGCGATTAGCACAAAGCACTTGAAAATAAAGAATGTACCTATTTCCTCGGCTGCTTGCTCCTCCGAATGAAACTACCTGTAGCCTACTTCTGAGGTAATTTTTTCCAGGATTATTATTAAGATAGTACTATTATTCCTCACAGCGTCGTAAATCTGAGTCTCTTTCGGTGGTTATCCAGCTGATGTGGGCGTGGATCGCCTCAGAGCATTTGTGTTTGAATAGAGCGCGCGCTCCGTGGGCGTGGTCAAATTAACTTTAATGAGCTGAGACGAGAACGACTATCATCTCTCTCTTTTCGTACAGATTACATAAAATGAGAAATTTTTTTTTTTACATAAATTACTTCATTTAAAAGAAGATAATTCAGGCTTCATGCCTGTGTGCCTGTATACCTGTTTGAGTATTTGCAGAGTTACAGATGATTTTTCGGACGCGTTTCAGAATGGACTTCACTGACAGAGAGAACGCAGAATGCGTATCATGTTTATTTTTCTTTATTAGGCGAAAAGCACAACACTTTGTTTTTATTATGAGGTTCCACAAAAAAAATACAAACTTAACAGGATCGAATGATGTACAACACTTATATGTAAGATCAAAATTAACAGAGTAATTTGAGTCTCTTTTGCACTGATAAGGAAAAAAGTGAGCTGGTATCGCCGGCGAGACCGCCGACCCCAGAGAGTTAACAAGCAGGTTGTTCACGGGCGCCAAGGTGTTTGCGTGTTTAAAAACTATACATAAGAGACGGAAAGATGCAGATAACTATGCATTATTTAAGGTTATTTCTATTCGTTACGATATTGATAACTGTTGTTGTCCAGCTTTCCCCGTTGCGAGCGTGCACTAATCTGTAGCCTGGGTGCTGCACTGCTCTAGTTAACTGCTGTGCCTTTCCCCCCGAAAATATCACGTTAACAACAACAACCCTTTAGAAAATGTAATTCCTTTGTGGATCCTCTTGATCTGCTTTCTCCGTGTTTCTTTTTACAATTCTCAGTGTTTCAGTCTTACGCACGTTGCACGCGAGTTAACCACGCCCACTTATTTGCATTTCGCGGTATACACGGAATAAAAAAACCTGTTACGGTTGACATTTTCTACCGCGGTAACGATATATACCATCATACCGCCCAGCCCTACTGTCCATCAATAAAAGGGTGAAAGAAATATGACGAGGTACTGATATTGACGAGGGGGCGGAGAATTCGCATCAGCTGTGTGTGTGTGAGTGTGTGTGAGTGTGTGTGTTTGGCCATCAAGTGGTATTTCAGACTGGACGTGCTGCGATGATGATAGCTCAGTTTACAACGACAAAACACACAGATCACTTTGGTGTTGTCAATGGGACCATTTGGCAACTTTTTAAAAGTAAACTTTCAATTCAGAATCTTATTGGCATCCATTTCGGCGTCTCGCGCTCGTCATCCACTCAAAACGTAACGTTAACCTACTATTTGGCCGGCTCGCAACAAGTGTGTTTCCGGTCTAGCTAGATCCGGTGCTTTCAGACAGGACGCGGAATGCGCGGCGCTACGCCAGTTTCAAAACTTTTTGGATGCCAAAACGTTTCTATTGGCCGCACTGGTAATCGTCACAATGGCTAAAGTTGAACTATTCTGAATTTTGACCGTGGTGTGCGCGCCGCTGCTCTTGCGCTTTGGTCGACGAAGCAACAAAACGTCCTCGCGCGGCTCAAGCCATTGAAATGAATGGGTTTCATAGCGCAGCACCGCGCATGCCACGTCCGGTTGCAAGAGCATGTGAAAAAAAAAACTACAAAGTTTGCTAGGCCAAAAAGACCGTTAATCGAGCGAGTAGCCGATGGCAACCAGCCAAAGCTGTCTCAGTTATATTCGAAACAGGAAAACGATGGAATCTGAACTTTGATCCCGGCACATCGTTGTGGTCACAGCCAGGGAATTTACAAGTTCGCACCATTGTTAATTTAATACTTTTTACGTCGTTGTCAATCGATTGTGTAAACACTATGGAACAGCTGATCGGAACGTGCGCACTGTTGACGTTGACAGCAGCGCGGATTGATAGAAATGGATAGAAAATAGTGCCGATTAAAACTGAGGTATGAATTCTGACCGGCGTGTTTTTTGTGTGGTAAATTAATCAAGCTTTGAAACGCAAATCATTTTTTCAACTAAAAACGCAGTTTTGTGACCCCGGAAAATAACCGGGAGTAGCCTACTTTATTGAAAAACTTCCAGCGGCCAGAACTCTGACCAGCGAGGTGACAACAGAGTGGGTCAGTGTGTATGCACTATAGTGCTGGTAAGGATTGCATACAACTTCATGTCTTAAATGGGCGAACTAACCCTTTAACATGTTTTTTAATACTTATTTTTAAATATGCGTATAATTACACAAATAAAGTTAACTGTTATTAATAATATTAATTACAAAAAAAGTAGATCATGAGGTGCCTAAAGATTCCCATCCCTACTATACAATGATTTATTGCTTGTCTTTGTCGAATAATACAGAAGATAACGAACTTAAAAAGATTATTAGATTATTTTCCAAAATAGTTCAGCCCTAATTTTAACTGAACTTAGGACTGGTGGTGGTGCTTAAGATATTTTTGGTCATTCATTTACTGTAAAAAATAGATTAGAGTAATAGATAATATAAAATTTTAAAAGATAATACTACTAGAATATAAATTATTTTGTCAAATACAGGTACGCTGCATTGAGCTGCATATAAATAGTACAGATGGATTGACGGAGAACGAAACTCTCAAGCGCTCGGTCAGTGTTAAGCGAGTGAAAATATAAACTTAAACTTAGCCTCTAACACACACTTCCATTTCAAATAAATGCTGTTCTTTTGAATTTTCTGTTCATCAAAAAAAAGTATCATGTTTCCACAAAAATATTAGGCAGCACAACTGTTTTCAACAAAGATAATAATAATAATAATAATAATAATATGAAGAAATGTTTCTTGAGCACCAAATCAGAATGATTTCTGAATTTCAGTAATGCTGAAATTTCAGTTTTGCATTACAAGAATAAATGACATTATAAAATATATTTAAACAGAAAACAATTGTCTTAATTTGTAATATTATTTCACAATGCAACCGGTTTTACTGTATTCTTGATCAAATAAATGTGAGCTTTTTAACCGAACTCTTGAGCAGAAGGGTACATTGAGGTCATTTCAAAAGAAAAAAATCCTGATTTGTCAAGTTGTGTCATTTTTCTAATGAACAAATGGATTACAAAATAAAATGATTCATTTGAACAATTCAGATAAAATGCCACTGAAATAACACTGAAACATAGTGTATACAAGTATGTGTTCGCAAACACCACATGCATGTATAACATGATTGCTTATGCAATTCATTGGTTAAAGCATTTGTATACTTGCACAAAGAAAAAACAGATTAGACTGGTTTAAGATTTTATAACTTACTGCAAAAAGCTCCAATACGCTCAAACATGAGTATGAGACAACGGAGAGCTTGTGTCAACTCAGAGAACCATTGTCAGAGAACAGAAGCAATCATACTTCCCCCAAACAAGAGACATTTTTATTTTACACTAATAAAAGATGTGGTTTTGATCCCTCGAGAAGAGGAACTTACACGCTGGCGTGTGGTTTCTTCTTGGAGAAATCGCAGGCCAGGCCCAGGTCAGAGATGCGAACGTGTCCGTGTTCATCTAAGAGGATATTCGCAGGCTGTGGGGAACAGCAAATGATGTGGAGGTTAGGACAGTCAAAAAACATATTTTTAAGAGCCTGATAAAGAACAGAATGTCTTTTTGTAAGCAACACCTACAGAATTACTGTGCATTACTGTGATTCAATGGAGTACATTTACTGAAGAAAAAAAAAATACAGCAATAGTGTAACACTTTGTCTAAGTGCAAAGCCAAAAGTTTCCAGCAAAAAACAATGACCATGTACACAACGGAAAGCGTGCACAATTCCCATTCCCATTTTGAAGAACAATATCGATTCTTAAATCCCAAGAAACAATCTTTCAGCCTATGCCGTTTTCAGTTGATGAATGAACAAAGCTTTGTACCGAGCCTCCCATCCAACAAATCCCAATTAGCTTTGTGCTTTGTTAGTTCTGTAAAGTCTCAGCTTTCAAATTCTGTCAATTTTATTACGAAATTCAAACAATAAACACTGTGTTGGCACTCTTTAATGTAGAGGAACAGATTGCTTTAGTGCCCCAGTAATGCAAAGTGGCAGCGCGGAGCGCACATGAACTGGTCGTCTCTTCCGCTTTACTACTAGTTTCAGTGCATTCACACGGGGCGTCGGCGTTAATTTACTCTGAATGGGTGACGTCGTGCTTTGCCGAACTGAATTATGGCTGCCGTTGCTCGCAGCAGAAGTTGAAAAATGTTCAACTTTTCAAGCGCCAACGCAGGTGTCAGATCGCCTATGCAAATACCCTAGAGCTGACGCTAGCCAATTGCGTTCATGCAACACCAGAAAAGTAATGTGATTGGCTGTTGTCACTATGACGGCCGAGTCGATAGAAACATGAAAAACAAAGCAAAAAAAAATAAAAATAAACAAAAACATAAAACATTTATAAAAAAACAACAACATATATATATATATATATATATATATATAACAATATACAGGGATTTTGACCAATGAGATTTCCTATTAGGCCATATATTAGCATTAAACTACTGGTGTTATAAAAAGATCTGCATGATGATTATTAAAAAATGATCTTCCACATAAAATTATCAGCATACAGGTTTGGAATGATATGACGGCGAGTAAACAATAACGAATTTCATTTTTGGGTGAACTATCCCTGTTATAGACATTTCACACTGAAAATCTTCCCATGCATCAAGGTTCTCAGGAACGTTGCTCAGAGGTATAAGCAAGCAAACGTGATCTATTTCATGGTGAGTTTTTCTTCTACACAAAACAGCAGTGATACTGCTGAAAAACAACAGGATTGCTCGCTCACAGAATGCACCCTGCTCGCATGTGCAGTCTCCCGTTTCAGGAGCTTGCCAGGGAAGATCCTGCATATCCTCAGCAATCTGGCAGCGCGAAGCCTAAACATCTCACTTAAAATTGCATAATTCACAACGATTGCATAACTATACTCCTGCTGCTTCCACACGGAGGGTCGACAAATGACATGATATTAGTGGTCATCGCAATGCAAGCCTAACTTCTATGTTTGGGACTGTAGGTTAAGGTCGACTCGCTCAGTCACATGACGTACTTTTCTGTTTAAAGACAATAAACAGTGCTGCCAAGAGAGACAGCTCAGCCAAACTTAATAAAAAATAACCTCAGACGACGACGTAGAACAGATTCAAGCTTACGTTACAAAATACACAAACTCTAACGGAACATTTCATTTTCCCTTTTTAGCGGAAACAGGGAATCACAAGAACAGGTTTTCCAGTGACAGAGGACAGTACAAACAATCCTTTCAGTGTGAAAAAGAACGACTGGGATGGCGATGAACTTACTTTGAGGTCTCTGTAGACGACGAAACGATTGTGCATGTGTTCGAGGCCCAGTATGATCTCAGCTGCATAAAAACGCATATCCTTCTCGCTGAAGACCCCGTGCTGAGATAGGTGATAGTGAAGGTCGCCGCCTGAAAGACAAGTACAATCAAACTATTAAACTGCATTATAAATATATAAGATCAGGGATTCCACACCATGTAACCAATTCATTTTCTTTACTTTTTCAGTCGTTCGTAGGAGTAAAAAAACAAACAAACACTAAATTAAAGTAACTTAAGTAACAAAAAAAGTGCATAATAAAATAAAACAAGATAAAAATTAAATAATAAAACCAAACAAAAAAACAAATACTGAATAAACCCTGTAAAATTTGATTTCTAATCGACATTTATGACATTTATACTTAATTGCAGTTTGCAAAATCATATATCCTCTCTAATTATATTTCAAGTTGTAGGTCGGTTAAGGATCTTCTATTCTACCCAGTATGAATTTAAATAATTATTGTAATTTGATTGAGATGTCACATGAACAGCCACTTGAACAGTGTCCATTTCTGAGAATTCTGGGAAAATGTTTATCATTCTGATATGTAGGAAGGGTTATTACGACTAGATCCATGAGTGTCTAAATGCTTTTGTGGAGTTAAAGCCACTGTTTTTGAAGTGCGTGATGTGATTGTTTCACAAATCAAGAAGGACGTTAAGAGAAGTGGCCCGTGCTGCAGCGCAGATACAGGAAGTGTAAGTGTGTCTGAAGAGGAAGCTCCGCCCCATGTTCAGGCTGACAATGAGGTATAGAGGAAGGCCAAAATAAGAGCCCTTAAATGGCCATTTCACATTGGGTGGTGTTGGCTTGGATTGGTGAGACTATCTAAACTATAGCACAAAAATATGCTCATGAATCTAAAACAAAACATAAAATCAAATTAATATGAACTCATAACACAGAGTCCAAAGCATTGTACTTCTGCTTTTTTTATTTGGAGTCTTAAAGCAGTAAGACACCGGGCAAGAAGCGCCACGCAGCGTCTAGAGGTATTGCACACCGGATGCACACATTTTGTCAGTTTGTGGTCAACAATATTGATTGTTTAAGGGTATTATGAAATTAAGATAATGTCTGTACAGCAGTCCTGATTCATAGCTGGGCGCTGGTGTGAGTACACTCATTGAAAACAATGTGTTTGAATTTTAACCATGTGGCGCGATGCGACACTGCGCTTCTCGTCCGGTGTGCGACCCCCTTTAGTGTTTTGTGTACCGAAAATATGATGTATTTTAGGTTTTGGCATTAAACTAGTCTTAGTATAAAAATTGGACTCTTATACATTGGCATGAACAGGCCTTTAGACCAAAAAGATGATGGCTTCCCTTACCATTCATCAAGTCCAGGATGAAACACAGTTTATCAGGGGTGTGGAAGGCATATGTCATACACACTATGAAAGGGCAATCCTGCAGAGAGAAAAAGAGATGGAGAGGGTACAACAAATGAGACAGGGATGTTAATTGTGCAGTCCGAGTACGACGACGAGTTGAGTTTGCACTTGTGAACATGTCACTCACCCCGGTGCTGACCAACGACAGCATGATTCTCTCATTGAGCGCCAGCGTTTCGCCCTGCTTCATTTTGATCCGCTTTTTATCCAAACACTTCATGGCATACCTGAGACACACACAGTAAGCAAGCACATCCTTTTATCCGAACCCAAAAGAAGCTTCTTTTTGGTTTCATCCTTACAACAGCACTTACATTTTCCCTGTGTCCGCCTTTCTGCATCCGTACACCTCTCCAAAACCCCCTCTACCGATGATCCGATGCACGCTGAAGTCATTCATGGTCAACTACATGCAAAAATAAAACAATTAAATAAAACAAGATTTCAAAAGTTTTTAAAGGTGCATGAATAACTTTTGGGTAAATAAAGCACAAGGGACCAAAACGTAAGAAAAAAAGAAAAAGAAAAAAACTCACATGGATGTTGAGCTCTACATTCTTCCACTGGCAGAAACGCGTGAACTTGTCGCTATAGAACAAATAGAAAGGTTTTAATGTTATAATCATTCCCAAGCAACAAAATAACCTTAAAAATTAACATTTGAATTTTTATTCGCTTTGTAGTAGTCTGTGTCACCTTTCAATGAACTTCTGAAAGATCTTTCCTCGAAGACTGTCACAGATTTCAACTATGTATGGCTGGAAGGAGACAAGCAAACAAATGCATCAGGATCTGTTGTGAGTCCCTGCTTTCTAAACACTTTACTTCCTTTGTGTTAAATGCACAAAAGCCAATCTGCACCCGGAAAAACGGGTTCGATTATATCATGTTGGGGGACTTACCTGAAAGAGATTTGGAGGAACTTGTTTCTTTGCTAGGTGAGTCTGGACATGGTCTACTGCCTTCTTAGAGAAGGGCTGTGAGAAAGGAAGGTAGATTAAGTGACATTTGCGATAAGGGAGGTCAAAACACTAAAACAACAAGAACAGTTTCCCCTGAATAAACGTCAAGCATCGACATTAACCTCCTAAGCATTCCTGGTTATCACAACATAAAACAGTGTGACAATCACACAGGGCTTGAGTGTCCTATAAGCCATTGTGTTGGTTCATTCAGGCTTCCTGTTTCTGAAAAGCTACTACTGGAGACTGACGGAGGCTAATGGTACTCTTGTTTTTCTCAGCAGAAATCATTTGAGTCTCCGGATCTTCAGAGGACAATAAGAAACATCATCCCTCCAGCTAGCAGCATTATAGAACCATGTTCCTTTGCATGCATCATATTAGGGCTAATGAATATAAACAGTTTAGAGAGAACGGTGTCGTCTTAGCGGCCCTAATTTAATGGCAAGTGATCGTTTCGACGGAGGTGAGTCAATCAAAACGGGCTTTGGCTGGAAGATACCATTATTCGGGAACCGCTATAACACCAAACCAATCTCTGTTACCTTAAATTATATGTTTATCTCTGTAAAGCTGCTTTGAAACAATCTACATTGTTAAAAGTGCTATAGAAATGAGGATGACTTGACAACATTATAACAAAATATCATTTATAATAATAATTTTTTCTTTAAATTCTATGAATAAAAAAAAAGATACATAAATATATAGTTTATTATTTACACAATTATTATATATAATGCAAGTATTCATCTTCACTGATTAGTTGTTGGATCACTGTTTGACCTTGCAAATAATCATGTAGCGAATAGAAAGCTTTGACATGACAGTAGCAGATCTAAATTAGATATTGCAATATTAGAACTGAATTGCAGAGACAAAATCTTGAATATTTATCAATTTTGCAGCCCTATGTCGTATAAATGAGAAACGGCTGCTAGTGACCATTTTATAGATTCTGACATTTTTTTCTTACATGTGAACACGACAGAAGCTCCTTCATTATGTAGACGTCGTAAATCTGCCGACTGCTCGTTAGCCTCTCCTCTTCTGAATCCAACTTCTCGTACTCTTTAATCTGAAAAGATCAAAACAAGACTACCGTCATTTCAGAGACAATCCCACGCTGTTTAATAGGACACATGGTGTTGTTTTGGTCAATGGAATGGGAAAAAAACGTATCGATTAGCCATGTCATTGCAGGTCATAACCAGCATGATGATAAGTCAGGTCAAATACAAAAAAAATCTTTAGTAAAAACATGCACAATTACCACAAAGATGCCACAACATACAGATGCTTGCTTGCATAGAAAAAAACATTTTACCTCCTCATAAAACTTCAGCTGTGGAACGGCCTCGTCGATCTCGTTCATGCAGAAATCCTTGAACAAGAGGAAACCTGGACAACAGAGGCAGGAAGGCAAACGGTTAGATAAGGTGCAAAACAGAATGAACGATAGAAAGATTTGACCTTTTTAGAGTGCGCAATGCAAGGAAATGTATTTATAAATATAAAGCAAATAGAACAGCAGCTATATTGATGCCTTTGAAAGCTCCTGAAAGGCATTCATGCCAAAGTAAACAAAAGTATAACTAGAGTAAATAATAAAGAGACAACTCAAATAGCAGCTTTATCACCATGAATAAATATAATATGATTTGCTTTGAAGGGAGAAGTTGTTCCAACAAAGCAGTATTTTCATAACCAAATCAATATCACGCGGTGAAGAAAACACAAGAAAGATCACAAGAGATATATATTTTAAGGATATTCATCATAAACATGCATTCAGCCTTGCAAAGAAAGTTCCTGATTTGTCATGGTGTCATGAAAATAAATGGCATTAAAAGGTTATGTTTTTATGCACAACAATTTAATATTTTCCCCTTTTGATTCAGGATAAAATATGACGCAAACTGCTTCTGGGATTCACCAGTTTATCGCTCATTCGTGACTTGCGGATACTGGTACAGTGCTGACGGTAAATGCTCTCAATGAACGAGGGACAATAACAACAATCTAACCAGTGGAGCGCGGATTAGTTACTTTTGAGAGGATTATCCTTAAATCACAGGACAGACACCACTATCCTAATTCAGAAAATCCCCCATCAGACAGCCACCTTGACCTTCCATTTCACTCGATCCTGCCAGCTGGAGCATTTCCTTTCTCATCTTGAACTTGTTTGCTTTTTAACAAAGCACAGCAGAAGTTACCAGTTAAACAACCCATGCGCTCACGTGATGACGACGTGGCACAGAGGGAGAAGCACAGACAGGAAAGTTGAGACTGTTCCCATAGCAACAATAATGGGTCACCATCATGAGCGGAGGGGACGGGCCTCGGATAGAGATTGCTGCCCGTCTCAGTGTCTGATTGGGTGACCGCACAGGGCAAAAGTCACAGGATGAAATGCAATTCAAGGGTGTCAAGAGTGCTATGGCCCTTGCAAGTCATATAAACAGAGCAGATGAAAGATGCAGGAGGAAGGAACGTTGTTCTAGAGGCTTAGCGTGACAGTTCTAGCGTTGGGCGATGAGACTGAGAGCGTGGCCACTTCTGATACATGCAGCATTAGTGCGAGCTGATTACCACTGTTAAAATAGGAGGGCAGTGCAGACGTTAATTGGATCGCAGTGGAATTATCTTTTAGGAGATTAAAAGCAACAAAAAAAACCCACCACAAACATGGTGCTGCTGGGCAGCTACAGCACAATGTCTATACATATTCATTTTAAATAAAGTGTTTTAAAATGACAGTTACACCACAATAATACAACATAGCTAAAATGATATGGGCATAATAATTTACATTTACGCATTACATTAACAGATGCTTTATATTTAATTAAAAGTGACTTTTATTGCATAACAGGTATTTTGGTTACAATGCTGTAGTAATGTATTGTGATACTTTATTCTCACCCAGTCCCTGCAGATATATTTTTAATATATTTACAAAACAAACATATCCATAATATAACTTATTTTTAAATATATATTTAAAAATGTAAATGTATGTGTATTGTCATTTATATTTGATAAATATATAATAAAACGAACAGCTAATACTGGGATACATTAAGATAATCAAGGGTGATAAAGCAGCTCAGATAAATATGGCCTGATTTCTAGGACAAAACTGTCATTCTTTTCACAACAAACTACAATCTTTAGGTCTGAAACTGCTCCTTTTCAAAATCCAATCAATTCACAATGGATAAAGTCATGTCTTGTCCTACTATTTTCATAAATGCATCACATTAATGGAGTAAAATTGTGAGTGAATGCTGGTTCACGTTGACATCACTGTAGCTCAAAAAGCAGAATACATGAACTGAGGAGAATTTACACCAAAATAATACAAAGCAAAGCTGAAATTACTTGGGGCCCAATAGTGTTGTCAAAAGTAGTGCTGCCGCGATTAGTCGACTTAGTCGACGTAATCGACCATGCAAATTAGTCGACGGCAATTTTTTTAGTCGACGTGTCGTTTTACTATTGACCGCTATTTATTTTTGGTCTCCCGTCACAAACGGCTCACTGTAATTCACCTCCACACACCAGTCTGTGCGCCGTGCGCGCCCTGCTGGTTTATCTGCTATCATTTTCCTTCACGTTCCCGCCCGCCTTCACTGCTTTGATATGAAAAATTGCGGAGGCAGGTGACGGAGCTTTCACAGTGGGCTCGTTTGCTGCAGTCCGAGCGCGAGCGCGATTGTTCCCGGCGCCCCCCGCAGCGTTGGTCTGGTTTCACACTCAATTCTATCGAACCCTGTTGAGTTTGCGTGCATCTTATGCCATCGCAAACGTGCACGGCGCATGATAGAAAACAGAACGCGGGTCAATATATTGTGCTTTTCAAACGGACTCTTTTGAGGAGACAGTGGATTTCCAAATGTGTTGCCCTGATTGCAGACTCAACTCTCGCGTATCCGAGGTAAATCATCAACACTATCATCCCTTACATGTGTTTTATTTAACTGAATGCATCATAATCAGCTCAAACGCATGGGCAGGTTACTTAACTTCCTGAACAAGCGCTCCCGAGTCCGTGTTGCTTTCACATTCACACGAACCGCGGCACGGGCCAGCCATGCACGCAAGTGTAAACGCGAGCTACATAACTGCGTGCCTGCCTGCTTTCAGCGCGACTCATAGTGTATAGCGCTTTTCACAGAAAATGCATTGCATCTACTTTACTATTCAGAGTATGCTTTTCAGAAATGTACATAAACTAATCATTATTAGCTTACTGTACATTTTTTAGGGCAGAACAAAGAGCTAATTTAACTTAAGTAATACATACATGTTTGTTATTAGAGGATTAGATTAGGACTCTGACTAATATGGTATAGCCTAATGGAAATGCAGATACTTAATGCTTAGATTGTTAATACATAATGTTTTTGAACAGGTGACATTTTATGTTTTGGCCCTTCAGTTGAGTTCAAAATAAAATGGACACAACGAAATAAACACTTGATTTTTTTTTAATTAGTCGTTTAGATTAGTCGACTAATCGAAAAATTAGTCGAAAGATTAGTCGTTAGAAAATTAGTCGTTAGTGGCAGCACTAGTCAAAAGTACTGACTTCTGTACCAAGTAGGTACTGACATTTAAAAAATGTGATGACAACAGCATTTCCTTCTAGCATTTTGAGCACTGTGTTCACGTGCTCACCATATAGGTCTCTGATTGGCCATTGTGTTCACGTGCTCACCATATAGGTCTCTGATTGGCCATTGTGTTCACGTGCTCACCATATAGGTCTATGATTGGCCATTGTGTTCACATGCTCACCATATAGGTCACTGATTGGCCATTGTGTTCACGCACTCAACATACTGTACATGTCTGTGATTGGCCGTTTGAAAGCAGGCGACTATCAGCGGATCCGTCTATCAGTGGATATATTATGGATCCGCTGATAGACGCCTGCTTTCAAACGCTCCCGTGTGTATCTTGCGCAAGCGCTTAGTGAAAAACATCCAAGATAACTATTTACAACATGTTTTTGAAGCGTTGATCATTGTAGCCAATCACAGACATACATGTTGAGCGCATGAACACAATGTCAGTTTATGGGATATTTTGCCCATTTTCACGAGGTCAATCACTTTTAAAAGTACTCACAAACTCTTCCACAAGCTACACTATTTCAGATATAATTAATTTCCATATCACAATCGGACCCCCAAGTATGAGCAGTAATGAAAAGTAGTAGCGATGCTAATAAGGGCCTCTCAGCAAAAAATGTTCTCCTCTTAGTATCTTCCCCGCCGTCCTCTTCCTCCTCTCTGTTATCTCTCAGACACTCATCTTTGTTTTCCTCCCTTTCCTGCTGTCTGCAGTGTAGAGTCGGGAGGTCTCAAATACAACCCAGAGAGGAATAAACCAAGCAGCTAGTGACACGAACACAGATGTATGAAAACTCAGCCATGGATCACAGTGAAACCATATTGATCAGATAGCAGTCATATAAATGAGATACACAAATGCAAGGAATCAACAGGCAGATGGAAGGTACAAACTGGTTAAAAACTAGTTAAACAGTTCCAGCTCTAAATCTCAGATTAGCCACATATAAGCACACACTGACTGCACATCAATTGAAATTGCAGATAAAATCGTCTAATTCAGGGTTTGCTCGATATGTTCTGAGCAGGAATGAGTAGGTGAGAGAGATAGATAGATATAAAAATCACGCTGAAGAGGATATGGCTTACGTCACAGAGTTAATGGATTACCCTTAATCGCACTTTGAATGCACAAAACGATCTCTCTCCTTGATTGCAGGATTCTGACTCGAGCCCAAGTACAGGTGGGGTAAGCTTGCTGACGGACAACTCAGTGTGTGCTTTCTCTTGAAGCACAGGAGATCTGGGAGGACGGTCACTGAATCACATGTAGGGAATCTTCACTATTTTTTTTTTTTACCACTGTGTTAATTCAAAGTCAACTTTAAATTAAAATTGCCAAATCGCTATTTAGGCTATAGCTGCATACATGGAATTTATTATTGTTATATTTAAATTATATTTTTTTATACATTTATAATATATCTGCTAGGCATGTGCCGGTGTTTTCCGCAGCATATACGCAGTGTTTTTTTAAGCGGTTGATGGAAAATAAGCTAATGCGCGTTCTAAAAATCTAAATTCAGATAAATTATTTTTCACGGTATTTTGAAGTGCCCGCGATAACAATATCGTGCATATTCATTACCGCGATTTATTGCATTACCGAAAACCGGCACATGTATAATATCTGCTTATATATATACACACACATATACATGTGTATATATATATGTATATATATATATATATATATATATATATATATATATATATATATATACACACACACACACACACACACACACACACACACAT